TTTCCTTTTTTATAGACAATTTTGTACTCATATTGCTCAAGAGATAATCTCCATCTGATTAGTCTTGAATTTGGTGATCTATGATTCATTAAATATTGTAATGGTGCATGATCTATAACGATCGTGAAGGTTCTACCGAAAAGGAATGGTCTGAAATATTTGTCTGTGTGTGTGTGTGTGTGTGTCAAAATATTGGCATTGGAAACTGAAGTCCATTTGCCACAAAATGTTGTCAATGGATTTATATTATCTGATCACTGTGAGAGACGGTAAGAAAGAAAGAAAAGGAGTGGATATAACTGAATAGTTACAAATTCCAGACAAGGTTTATTTTATATAGTAATATTTGCCTTTTTAAGGAATTGAATTAGAGCTAAATAAATTTTATATCCGGAAAGGATAAAATGGTAGTCAGAATTAAAGGTAGTTGGAAGCCAAGTTTAATCATCTGAGCGATTAATTGGTTGGAGATATTGGTGTAAAGATTACAAGCAAAAAATATGTGATTTAGATCGGCTATAGAAGATTCATCACAAGCACAATTTGGGGACTCTATTACACCTATTCGATGAAGATGAGCAGGAAAGCAACCATGACCCAATCTCAATCTCGTTATAATTGTGGAGAATCTTCTATTCATATAGAAGAGATCTATGTGGCGAATTATATTGGGAAGGGTCGGGTGAATAAGAGCATAATGATTTCGAGAGTTTACTACAAAGTTGGACCAGATCAAATCCCATCTTTTCTTGATGTTACCTCTGATCTCTATGAATAAATCAGAAAAGAGTGGCACATGGGTAATCGTACTAGAGTGAATTGCATTTTTTGCAGCTTTATCAACCATCTCGTTGCCTCTGATGCCAGCATGCCCTTTTACCCAAACAAAATTTATCTTTGCTCTTTTGGCTTGATAAGTGACGAGTAAGTTTCTGATTTTGCATAAGTAAAAATTATCATATGATCTAACAGGATTTTGTTTAATTGCTTCTAAGACTGATCTCGAATCTGTAATAATTGTTGCATGATTAATATTTTGCGAAAGGCACCAGAAAATCGCCTGTAGTACCGCATAGGCTTCTGCTGTAAATATGGAGCACAGGTCAGGAATCCTGTATCCCTTGCAATAATCTTTTTGTGGGACGTAGAATGCGCACCCAGTACCCATCTCACTTTTGGAGCCGTCGGTATAGACGACAGTGTGGCAATTGAGATCTTCCAATATGGCAGATAGAACAGACCTATTGTAATAACAGTTTTCGGTATATGTAGGGATTGTGATGGTTGTTTCATTAAGGAAAACTTCATAAGGGCCAACATATAACGGGTAATTATCCATAGGATGAATTAAATTATCGAGATGACTGGTCTCTACGAAAGCTTCAGCTAGCAGTGGTGAGGATTTTTTTTTCCAGTACTTGTAGTCTGTAGTTACTAATTGGGATATCTTATTAAGCAAGTATTTGTTATAGGTTCTGTATTTGACAACAGCCTTCTCTGCAAAGTACCTTCTTCGTAATGCAAGAGGAGGTTCCCTTGCTTCAGCTAAGATTGCTGGACATGGTGTTGATTTAATGACTCCCATGCAAATTCTCAAGGCCTGATATTGTATTCGGTCAATTTTAGTTAGGTGAGACTTAGCCGCGGAACCGTACAGCACACAACCATAATCCAATACGGACCTTACGTAAGACTGGTAAAAAATATGCACTATTTTAGGATCTGATCCCCATTTTTTCTTTGTGGTGCACTTAAGTATGTTAATCCCTTTTTCAGCTTTTGTTTTTAAGTACTGAATATGCTTGCCCCAAGTGAGCTTACAATCCAGCACTACTCCTAGATATTTATATTGCTGAACCACGGGTATACTAAGGCCACTGATATCATATAGGCTGGGAAGTGCTACTCTGTGTCTTGTGAAACACATCATCGCAGACTTCTCTACAGCCAATTGGAGATTTACCTCTAGCAACCAATTTTTTACTTTCTCCACCACAAGTTCAAACTTTTGGAGGCAGTACTGGTATGAATTGTGAGCAATGTAAACACATATATCGTCGGCGTATTGAATGACTTGAACTTCCTTGTCGAAAATGCCATGGAAGTCAGTTGTATATATATTATATAATATAGGACTAAGAATTGAACCCTGAGAAAGGCCGTTGTATATCGTTCTGGGGCCGAATAACTCATTTCTATGATTTCTTATATACATTTTTCTATTTATATACAACTGGATTATGCTAGCTGAGGATTTTTTAGACAGACCGTTTTGTGTTAACTTTTGCATAAGTATTCTCAAATCTACCGAGTCATATGCTCCCTTCAAATCCAAAAACCAGCACAAAAGGTAGTGGTTTCTGGAGAAACATAACTGGACATCCAACACTAGTTGACTTATCGCTTCTAATGTTCCGCGACCTCTTCTAAAACCGTACTGGGAGTCTGGGAATAGTTTGTTGCTTTCGATGAAAAATTCTAATCTGAGTTTTATCATGCGCTCAAAGGTTTTAACTAAACACGATAAAAGTGAGATAGGTCTGTATGAATCAGTTAGTCCGGCATCTTTCGATGGTTTTAATATGAGACAGATGATTCTAGTTTTGAGTTCCTCTATAAACTTGTGATTTGTCCACCAATCGTTTACAATTCTTAACCTTTAACTACTCGCGCATTTTTATTTCACGTTACTACTCGCGCGGTGTATTTTGTACACCGTTGCAAGTTATGATCCAAATATATGTTTTGTTTGCCCTATAAGTTATAGCTGTGGTAATAAGAGCAACTGTTGAACTCAAATACATATTTATTAGCAAAAATAGTAAACAAAATCAAATAAGACAGTAAAAATAAATTGAAAAAAACAACCATAATTAATAATTCTCTATTCACTATGGGATCCGCCTTCCTTACATTTGTGGCAGGTGATAACGTTGACACTATGCTCTTTACACACTAACTGGTGACAAATGCTGCATGTAATTGTGGTAACTCTATTTTTTTTTTCGGGCGCAGATGGAGCATCTTCCTCTAATTTTTCTGGGTGGCTCCTCTTCTTCATCCATTTGAGTTTGTCTATATCTGGATAGGAAATGTCTGATATCTATAGGTAACGTAGGTATTGCAGCTCTTTCAGAAAGAAAAGGTTTCATCAATGACAGAGCAAGAGTTTTCAGGAAAATTCTTCTGGACTTGTGAGGAGATTCAGGGTGAGTGCCGTTATACAAAATTTGGCTATTGATGCCTGCTATATTTAGCAACTGAAAGAAGAAAGCCAATGGCCACCTTTTTGTTCAACAGAATAAGTATTGCACATTTTGTCCACTGTGTCCACACCCCCTTTGGTCATATTATAATCTAGAATTATTTCAGGTTTGTTGGTATATGGATCAATAGTGGAGTCGTCGTGCATAGTTGAAATCAAAACCACGCATTTATTTTTTTTTTGGACATGTGAAACTATCGTTACATCCTTTTGGAATCCAAAAAGTGATGACCCAACCAACCTATTTTTATTTGGCAAGAACTCTATCGGCAGCTCTCGCTTATTCTTCTTCAGGGTTCCGATGAAAGTTATTTTGTCTTGAAGAAGTTCCACTGCCAAAGGGTAACTTGAATACCAATTATCGGAGGTTAGATTTCTATTGCTTCCTTTTTGTTCTGCTAGCAAACGGTGAACGATGGCAGTTGGTGTATTAGATTGGCTATATTGGCCATCTGGTTGTTTTCCACAGTACAGCTCCAAATTACTCACATAAAATGTTCTAGCATCACAGAGCACAAATGCCTTCAAACCATATTTCGCAGGTTTGTTTGGTATGTACTGGACAAAGCTGCATCGTCCTCGGAACGCAATCAACATTTCGTCTATTGTCATAAATTCGCCCATAGAGTAGTTTTTTTTGCAATTACTTACAAATTTATCTAAAACGTACCGCACTGCGGCCAATTTATCTATTTTCTTGCGTTCATGCCTTGTTGTTTTGTCATCAAATCGAATATTTGCCAGCAGAAAAAGAAACCTTTGATAACTCATGCAAGCTCGAAATATTTCTGATCCGGTACCGTCTTTTGTCCATAATTCCAAAAAATGGGTGTGGTTTTGCTTTTTAGATCCAGATAAAAACAGTAAGCCTATAAAAGCCAGCATTTCCGTTTTTGTAACGTCCTTTGCGTCTCGTTCTCGATCATAGTTTTCCCTAACTCTTGAAATTTCTAAATTAGTACAGTGAATAATATGTTCAATCATTTCATCATCAAAAATTTTCGAAAACGCACTTGTCTCATCGGTTATGTCACGTGCGCATTGCTTTGGCCCTGGTAGTATTTTTATAATGTTTTTTATTTTGGACTTGCTGGATTTACTCATGGGATAATTTTTATACCAAATAGTCTTTTTGTCTTTGCCAATATACTTATCTTGTTTATTGGCCGCTAACACCGAGAGCAGGATATCTTCAGAATCAGAACTACTTTGATCAACATCCACTTCATCCACTTCTTCTAGTTCGCTTATTTCTTGTTCTGAATCCGAATTGTGTGCTTCTTCCTCTACTTGTTCACTTCCATCAGAATCTCCTTCTCCTCCAACTTCTTCCTCGGTATCCGTATCACATATAACTAGGGCTATAGCCGCTAATTCATCTTGGGTCAATTTTTGAGGATTTTTCACCTTAACTCGATTCCTTGAATGAATAAATCAATTAATTCAAAACATATAATCGATGTTTAATTATATACAAATATACAGACTACATTACAAATAAGTTTTCATGGAAAACCTAAAAAAAATACATTCCACTATCTACTTACATAACTGCTCGCCTTGGTGTATTTTGTACACCACCTCAAACTTCTTGAAATATCTAACCTTGTCCTCTAGCGATCCGAACCGTACTGGCGCTACATCTGGAAGAGACATCGAGCGAGGCATACCTGGCTCGGCGCGGACGAACAGCTATTCGCATGGACTCGGCAGCCCTCGGCGCCATTTTGGTGTACTATATACACCAGCGCGAGTAGTTAAAGGTTAAGAATAACAGTTTGACTGATTTAGGCAAGTTAAAAAGGATTTCATAAGTAAATTTATCTATTCCTGGAGACGTGTTATTACGTTCTTCAAGACACCATTCTAGTTCTTCAAAATTAAATGGTTTCTCCATAAAGGTTTGCTGATGAGGGTTGAAATTTGAACTAACTATAGGAGGTGTGGAAGCTGATAATGGAGCAAACTTATCTAAAAGATGTTCAATTAAATCATTTGGTATTGGAATTTAATTTTATTAGCAACTGAATTTTTATTTATTGATTTGACAAATCTCCAAATTTCGCTGATGGGTGTTCTCCGATTCAGCTTATTTAAAAATGACATCCAGCTACCTCTTTGTTTTTGTTTAAATAGCCTTTTGACCTGAGCTGTGTATTTTTTGTAATCAACAAAATTTTCGTAACTTGCTCGCCGCTTATAATTACCAAGAGCTTCCTTTCGTTTTTCAAATATATGTGTGCATTCCTCGTCCCACCAAACTGGTTGAGCACTGGAATGGATAAAAGGTTTTTTCAAAGGGATGGTAATATCTGCCGCATCTGAAATTAACTTTATTAGTTTATCGAACCTATCGGTGTTTGATATACTGTCTAGATCTGATATGCCAGTTAGCTTCGTTTCTAGCGTATTTTGAAAAAGTTTCCAATCCCCGCGTTTTTCGTTCCATCGAGTATATGGTAAGAATTCAAAAAGTTGGCTTGGTGATGATTGAATTGTTATTTTGATTGGAAAGTGGTCTGATCCCATAGTGTCGGGCAACACATCCCATCTGATGATGTCTGCTATTGATGGCGAGGATAATGTTAAATCTACAGCCGAAAATAGATTATTATAATGAGGGCTGACTATTCGGGTAGGACTACCATCATTAAGAATTACTAAGTTATGACTTTCCATGGCTTCCACCAAAATCCTGCCTTGCGAATCATCTTCAGCGCAGCCCCAAAGTCCATGGTGTGCATTAAAATCCCCACAAAAGACCAGGGCCATTGAATTGACCACAAAAATTGCACCAATCTCTTTGGTGGTTTGTAAATAGACACAATATTAACTTCCCCATCATTAATAGAAACTGCACAAGCCTCTATACCTGGGTTAAAGTTATTGCGTAAATGAATTACTGTATGAATTAAATCCTGTTTGAGAGTTCGGTCCTGACCAAAATCGAACTGGTTGATACCGAGTGAATCTCTACATTTTTGACTAACAAACTAGTTAATAAATCATCAATAATTCCTGCAAGAGTTTCAGTGCATAAGTGTGAGCCATTAAGAACATATTGTGAGTAAATACTCTACGTTTATGCGATAAATAAGATCAGAATCTGAAATAATTACTTACGATATCTCCGGCGTGCGCTAGCACAGGTAATCCCAAACACAACAAATATTTGCGGATAAGCAGGACCGTATCGAGAAATGATACGGCATCTACCTGGAGTTTATTTCACTATACCATAATGTCATCTGTTAATAACCAAAACTCATCTGAAAGCAACACAACAGCTCAGTCCTACTCAAACGTACTTACTCAAAACACAGTCAAGTACCCAAACAAGGATCAAGCGATTATATTTAATTCTTCTGATGGAGCTAAGCTACAAGACTACCTACTTAAGCTTGGTCCAATCGTCAACCCGAAAAATATATTGTTCTGTTCCAGAATTTCCAACAACAGAATATGTATATATTTAGCAACTAAACAGTTAGTAGACACCTTTTTAGAGAATCATGGACAAATAGAAGTAAATGGTGAGATCTTGAGAGGACGGAGATTAGTTTCTCCTTCAGACCGTCTAGTTATATCAAATGTGAGTCCTACAGTTCCTCACTCAGTTCTTAATGAAAAACTACTGCAACTAGGTCTGAAACTCGTATCACCAATTTCATTCTTGAGAATAGGTGCTCCACTTCCAGAGTACAGTCATATTCTGAGCTTTCGAAGACAAGTTTATATAGAACCCAACCAACAGTCCCTAAATATCCCAGACTCCATTGAAATAACTCATGAAAACCTAGCCTACCGCATTTTTCTATCGCTAGATAGTCAAAAGTGTTTCAAATGCAACAAACAAGGTCATATAGCTTCCCAGTGTCCACTACCCTCCCAGCAACGACAAACAAATCCACATGAGACCCAATCTACCAAAGAACCTAAATCAACAAGCACACACCACACAAGCAATCAACAAATAATAACAACAAAGACCCAAGAAACAGCACTATCTCAACATATACCTAACCCGCATGAAGCAGATGTAGATCTACCAAATACTAGCCAATCAGTAATCGACAAAAGTCCAATCCCCACCAGAAAAACGCAAGAGCTGATACCAGAAATACAAAATTACACCCAACAAAACAAACCGGATAAACAAAATAGAGTTATACCACACACTTCAACAGGCAGTAAATATATAGCTACTCACAACAACCCATCCCCAAAACGCTACTTCTCAGAAACAATCTCACCGACAACTCCTACGCATGAAAATTCAACCCCTCCTACATTTGCAGTTCCCAACAATATTAAATCAAAGAAACATAAAACAGATATGCAGTCATCCTACATCTCCCAAGACGCTCTAGCAACCGCCAAAACATTCATAGACAACCAGATGCCTGCCCTTCCCTTGAATAGTGACCAGTTTAAAAGCCTTCTCGAGAACAGTCATGGAACACAAGACATCACAAATATAATTAAAGATTATACGGATGACATTAAAGGACTTATAGAAATGATACTATTAGTATACTCCCACATAACCGATAAAACAGTCAAAAACAGATGCACAAGACTCCGTAAAAAGCTAGAACGCTACATTGACAACAACACTAACGAATGCCTTAGTGATACCTCCTCCATAGATTCAACTTTCTAATTACCTGAAAATCGTAATGCACATTGGATTAACTTCATTGTTGCAGTGGAACCTCAATGGGTACTACAGTCATCTGAACATGCTACAGAAACTCATATCAGATCAAAATCCAGACATAATCTGCTTACAGGAAACTCGCTTTACGGATACCAACACACACTCACCAAAAGACTACAAGGGATTCTTTAAGAACCGTAATTATACTTCCAATCAAATAGCTAGCGGTGGCACTGCTATATATATTAAAAGTAATATAGTAGCGAAACCTATAAATCTAAATACACAGCTAGAGGCAGTTGCTATCACAATAGAAGTCCCTCAAAAGATCAGCATCTGCAACATATATATATACCACCGAACTATCAATTAGACATTAATGAACTAGAAATGCTACTCCAACAGATACCCTCTCCACGACTCATCATGGGCGACTTTAACGCCCACCACCTTGTTTGGGGTTCCAAAAGAAACAATGCTCGAGGAATAATAGTAAAGGACTTACTAGATACAACTGATCTTAGCATAATGAATGATGGTACAGAGACAAGGCTTGATCTTGGAAATGGAACATTCTCAGCAATAGACCTAACTTTAACCTCAACAAATCTGATAACGTCACTGCACTGGCAAGTACTAGATGACCTTTATGGAAGTGACCACTTTCCTATCAGAATATCTAACACGGAAGTCCAAAACAGAACTACACCATTCGAAAGGTGGAATTTGTATAAAGCCGACTGGATGAAATTCTCGGACTACATAGAACGACACATCCAAGAACTTCAAATAGTTAGCGACATTAACCAAAGTGTATACAATTTCAACAATATCATCTTGAGCGCAGCACATAATCACATCGGTAAAACCAAACCAATGATAAACAAAAACTCCGTTTCATGGTGGAACGAAGAGTGCGGCGCAGCAATCACAGCAACCAAGAAAGCATTAAATAAATACAAAAGACAAAGAACTACTGACAACCTGATAGATTTAAAGCGAAAGAGGTCACGTGCAAAACTAATAACAAAGAAAAGTCAAAAGGATTCTTGGAAAAAGTTTGTAAGTAGTATAAATAGTTCAACACCATTAGCAACAGTCTGGAAGAAGATCAAAAGCATAACCGGAGCCAAGTCATACTCACCTATAAAATGCTTGAAGGATGGAAACACAACACACACAACGAATGAAGCAATAGTTGAAGCATTTAGTGAAACTTACCTCAAAAGTTCCAGCAACCAAAATTACAGTGATGAATTTCTAAAACACAAAACAGAGCTAGAATCAATACCAATATCAATACAGAACAACCAAGACCCAGTGAATATAATAATCTCCGAACACGAAATGGAAGAAGCCCTTAACGACTTGAAAGAAACTACTGCAGGACCTGACGACATACCTACTATCTTTCTGAAAAATCTTCCTCAAGTAGCTAAACAACATTTACTAAGAATCTTCAACAAAATCTGGACTGAGAATATGTTTCCTGATATATGGCGCCAAGCATTAACGATACCGATACTAAAACCAACCAAATCATCTCTTGAGCCTGAATCTTATAGACCAATAAGTTTAACATGCGCTATGTGCAAGCTATTAGAAAAAATCATCAATAAAAGGCTCCTATGGAGCCTAAATAAGTCGAATCTACTAGCTAAGGAGCAGTCCGGTTTTAGACAGAACAGATCCACCATAGACAATGCAGTAGACCTGGAAACATACATATATGAAGCTTTCGAGAACAAACAGCATTGCCTTGCGGTATACTTTGATATGACTAAAGCATTTGACACTATTTGGAGACATGATATCATCTTAAAATTACACGGATGGGGTTATGATGGGAACATCGTTGCTTTTATATCCAATTTTCTGAGCAATAGGAGTTTTCAAGTCCGTTCGAATGGAGTTCTATCCAAACCCAAACTACAAGAAAATGGCATCCCACAAGGATCAATAATCAGCCCGACATTGTTCTTAATCGCTGTCAACGACATTCTTAGTTACATTGAAAAACCAGTTCAAGCACGTCTTTATGCGGATGATATGATAGTGTATATAAGAGGAAAAAACCCAACAACCAATACAGAACTCATACAAAAAACAATTCACAAATTGGAACAATGGACAAAACACTCCGGGTTATCATTTTCACCTGAAAAGACAAAATATATTATATTCTCAAGAAGACAGATAATCCAACTCAGAGTACCACTAACACTTCATAACATATCCTTAGAGCAAACACAAGAAATCAAATTTCTGGGACTCGTATTCGATCATCGATTGACCTGGAAAAAACACATAGAGTACCTAGTTACAAAATGTGAAAAAAGAATGACAGTATTAAAATACTTATCCAACAGACACTGGGGAGCTGAAGGCAAATCCTTGCTCTACCTATACCGATCACTGATAAGATCTAAAATAGACTATGGTAGCATAATCTACGCCTCAGCTAGCCGTTCAACTCTAAAACCTTTGGATAGCATACACCACAGAGCACTTCGCTTAGTACTTGGAGCATTTAGAACAACACCAGTCCAAAGCTTATATTGTGAAGCCGGCGAACTGTCGCTGAATGACAGAAGGGAGATACTAAGCTTAACATATGCCACTAAAATAGCATCAAATCCAAGTATCCCTGGTCACAAGTACATAGGACAGATTAATAGAGGAATCCAGCTGGGCGTTTCCAATGCAACACAGAAAAAACCGTTTTACAGAAGAATCTCTGACTACTTGAGAAAATTAAATATCGCACAAATTCCTGCAACTACCATCAGACCTAGTGCAGACATTGCTCCTTGGACCATGCAGAGGCCAAGCATCAACAAAGCTCTCACAAGAATGAGTAAAACAGACACGCCAGCACCAGTAATAGTACAAAATTTCCAGGAAATAGTCAACAAATACCAACACCATGAGAAAATATATACAGATGCATCAAAACTTGACAATAGAGTAGGAACAGCTGTTGTGACATCCACTACTACCATTAAAATGAAATTACCAGATGAAGCAACAATTCTAACAGGAGAATTATATGGAATATTAGAAGCCATGAAACACGTACAGAATCAGAACATCCAACGAAGCATCATAATAACTGATTCTCTAAGCTCGCTTCAGCTTATTGAGCAGATATATACGAAAAACCACCTGGTGCACCAAATTAAGCAGATTCTCCACTCATTACAAGCAGACAACCATGATGTTGTATTCGTATGGGCTCCTTCTCACGTTGGTATCCAAGGCAACGAAAAAGCAGACCATCAAGCTAAACTAGCAGCAAACTTGGATCACACATCAACCATAAACATCCCAGATACAGATATAAAATCTCACCTTAAACAAAGAGCTATTCAAACCTGGAATACCAACTGGCAGAACAACACATCAAAGCTGTTTGAACTGAAACCCAGATTCGGACCATGGACAACACACACAACAAACAGAAAACACCAAACAATCATCACACGACTCCGTTTAGGTCACACCCGGATCACCCATGGACATCTCATCATGCAGGAACCAGAACCCATGTGCGAAGTGTGTGAAACCCATCTCAGTGTCAAACACATATTAGTGCAGTGCCCTTTGTTAGAGCACTATAGAGTGGAATGTAACCTCACATCATCAACCATGTGTGATATTTTAGCACCAAATAGCAACATAAACAATCTATTACGTTTCCTACAGCAAACTAATGTATTATATAAAATATAGCATGTAAGCCGTACCGCTAATGGCCTTTAGGTCGAAGCGGGTAATTAAATAAAAAAAAAAATCCTGTTTGATGAAAATACCTACACCACCTGACCGACTATTTCGACATTTTTTCACAAAATTATATCCTTTTAAGCTGAAATTATGTGTATCTTTTAGCCACAACTCGGAAATAACTACTACATGCATGTTATTATTGTTCAAGAAGTACTGAAGGCTTGCTTTATTGGCAACAATCGATCGTGCATTCCATTGTAAAATATGTATAGGGTAAAATACCCAATTGTTGGCACTTTAAGGGATCTTTAACATTGAATTAAAGGCTACAATGTTCAAAAGTCAAATTATTCCTCCATAAGTACATCTATACATTGCTCAATCATGGCAGTTTTCGGAAAAATCAAAAAAATTGCTATTAGAATATTCAAAATTGATTAAATATGAAAAAAGCTGAGGGACTACCACTTTCCAAATGTTGGCACTTGGAATCCAATAGTTGGCATATCTTGAGCCATAATGTTGGCACCCTCTTAAGCTAGATTTTCTAGAGCAATTTTATTGCATTAAGGGATGACATAAAATACAAAAATACTATTGTTTGTTTATATTACATTTGACAGTACAAGGGTGGCATTGGAAGTTTTCTGTATACAATTTTCTTTTTTTTAAACATTGCAAATGATACATTCGCATGCATATTTGACACTTAATGCCTTTATTGATTTTGCATATATTATTTGTGCATGAAAAACACAGTCCTGCAGATACTGTTATATTACTTTCAAGGTGAGACTCAGATTCACTTTCGTTCATTAGATCTGTCAAATTTCTAATATGTGTTGCTTTCCTTATCGTTATATTATTTGTTGTATGAACTCCCATTGGTGAACGTTTTTCTGAAGAACATATTTGGTGATTTTGCTCCACTCCTAGAACGGGAGCTTTGGATAGATTGCGACCATTTTCATTGCCTCCAGGAGCAGTTTTCTTCTTTTTTACAGTATTTTTTGACTTTTTCTTTTTTGCTAGTTCTTCCGCTCTCTCCGTGCGTTTTCTTTTGTTTTCACATTTTGTTTTTTCTTTGTCTTCTTTAATCTTGTGTTTTTCTTCTAGATTCTTTTTATACGCAGAAGACGATATGACGAAACTAACGCGTTCAGTTTGCCTGGTACCTTTTCTGACAGGAGTTTCTGGCACACCTAAAAATCTTTCAATATGGGCATTTTCACCATTATGCTCTGGACTTGAAGTTGAGCTCTTCTGTAGTGGATTATCACTTAGTTGCCTCGCAGGTTCGGTGGTAATGTTATCAATTTCTGCGTGAATACCACTTCCCATTAATGATAAGTTGATGGTTTCTAATTCACTCTCCGTAAGAATATTTTGATTCAACATATCACCATCGTCATAAGTAAAATTCATAAGCAGTTCGTCACCATTTACCTCAGTGGGTTGTTCTTCGTCCAGCAATACAATCGGCATGTTATTGATCTCCTCCTGAGAGAAAATACATTTCGCACCGGCTGTATTATTTTTCTTTTGGCGTTCCAGAATATTATATATTTTCAATAAAATGTTGAAATTCTCGCAGTCTGAGGAGCAGCAACCACTAATAGCTCCATTTTTGAGTCTTTTTACTAATAGTTCATCGAAAACATTCCATATATCTTCATAATTACTAACATTGGATTGTAGCTGCTCTTGTCTCTCTGATATCTCAGCCCTATTTGTTTTTTTCCCTAGGCATTTACTATAATCCGGAGCATCTGGATTCCATGGGAAAAGGCCACATGCTCTGAATCCATTAATGGTTGACTCTTTGTTAAGTCCATTTATCGCAGTTTCTAAAACTGGTGCGAAATGCTCTTTGCCAAACTGGCAGTAAGGATTTTCATGTCTCCATTGTAGAACAGATTTCTTCCATAAGCTTTTGAGCGGTCTAAAATTGGCTACATCAGCTGGTTGCATAATTCTTGTGCAATTTGGGTATAGTGCAACCAAAACAATTTCGAGTTTGGTACAAACCTCACTCAGCTCCAGAGATAGGTGTGATTTATGACCATCAACGAAAAGAATGATTGGGAATCTAGTATTAATTTGTTTCAAATGGGGATATAAATGGTTTTGTATGTAATCAATGAATATTTCCGATTTCATCCAGCCATTTTCACTCAAACCTATCGCCCATTCATCCGGTATGACATTTGCTACAGCCGGCTTGAGCCTCTTGTTTGGGTAGATGATCATTGGCGGCGTTGTTATACCTGAGGCAGAAAATGTAAACATTGCCGTCAAATTTTCCTTGGCTTTACCCAGATCAACCTCGTAAAAATTTTTTTTACCTCTTGGTGCAATGACCTTTCCCAATTTTGGATTATACTGAAAACATGTTTCATCGCCATTAAATACGCGACTTGGGTCCGCCAATATTGAAAACAGATCCTTCTCTTTAAGGTACTTCTCAATATCTCTGAACCATCCTCTTATATTATTTTCGGAAACAACTGAGGAAGCAGATGTAATCCCTTCAGCAGTGCGCTCACTCAGTTGTGGGTGTCGTTTCATGAATAATTTGTACCAGTGTATACCGGGAAAGTTATTCGTAAATGGATTGTCCCTTTCATGATTATCCAGGAATGACTTCATTGCTAGCTGTAGGTCAATCTGTCTTCTTGGAAAACCCTTCCTGTCATTTTCCAATATCCAATTGACAATTTTAGCTTCCTCTTCTTCAGTCAAGTATGTTCTGCGACCTCGTTTTGCTCCAGCTAACTTGTTTTTCAGTCGAAACTGGATAGTGGCTCTAGGTATCCCGTACTTCTGGGCAACTGATTTTTTTGATTCACCAGCCCGGACATCTTTGAGTGCCTGTTGTAGAGTCTCCTCTGAGTAGGTGGCAGATTTTTGCCTGAAAATTTGAAAATTTCTATTAATCCTTGAGATAGAAAGTTTTGTACACCTACCTGGATAGGCGTGCTAATAAAGCGAATATCGTGAAATAACTGAACCAAATCTTGGCATCCCCAAATTTTGAGAATTTTACTATTTTTTTTCAAAATCAAAATTATTTTACTTTAGTGAACTAATTAATTGCCTACCAGAAGCATTTAAATAATTTTGTATCATCCAAGTAACGAATAAAGCATCAGCAAACATGAGTCTACAGATTCTAGTCAAAGTAAGCGATATGTATGATTAAATACAGACTGAAATACTTCATACTTACTTTTTTGTACACCATTTCCCTACTTTTCTTTTCATAATCGATTTATCTGTGTGATTGCTCCTATTTCCGTTCGACATTTGGAAAATAAAGCTGAAAGAAAAAGGTGCCAATTATTAGGATGTGATAATCATCAACAACCAAGCCGTCTAGCACACGGTGTCAACATTACGGAAAATCATTATTTTTGTACCAATACTTGGCACATTATTTTTTCGGTATTTATTAAGAGAAAATCCATAAATATATCAAATTTATGTTATGTAAGCGTAAGACAATGTGACAAACATGAAATATTCACTTTTATTTGCCTAGAGTGAAAAATTATGCAGGATGAGATACCTATCTTGTTACAAATTTTACTATTTTCAAGCGACACTGATGATGCGCGTCTGGTCGGAACCATATATCACACACAACTGATCCGTCACAATGTAGCCAAATCGTTCGATATTTGTGGAAATTGTTGCCAAACCATAAAAAAGGTGTGAAATCCCCATATATTCAGCAATAACTCGAAAATTCGAAGTAATTCAGAACTAGTGCCAACATTTAGACAGGTGACAACATTTGGGTATTTTACCCTATCACTGTTTAGATCTTTTTGAATTTTTGTTGTGTCCTGCATTATCAAAAGGTATCATCATCACTCAAGTAATATCGATTACTTCAGTGTTGCTGTTGGAAGGTATATTTTCTGTGTATTCGTCAAAAATAGAGCTTAAATGCGCCTTAATATTTATCTGAGAGGATTCAGATGGTGAATTTAATAAGCTAGTAATAAGAGTCGATATTTGGAGGATCATATTTTCTTTACGTTGTTTAAATTCTTCTCGATATGGATTTGGTATAATAGGTTGAGATTTTGGTAGTACTTTTGAGACATAATGAGTGTCAGCTATAGGCTGTGAGCTGAAAGTTTTTCTTTTCTTAGGGGCAGGCAATTTAGCATGATCGTTCCGATAATTGGGTTTTCTAATAGAAGAGGTAAGTTGAGCGAAAGTGGGGGGTGGTAAGTCCGGAAAATTTTCAGTGGTATTAAGAACTGCAAATCTATTATTAGTAACTATGAAAGAAGGATTGTCTGCCATGCTCTCGGCTTCCTTAAATGACTTATTTTGATACGCCATAATCCTTTTTATATTATATTGTTTTTTGTACATAGGACAGTTTTTTTAAACGGGATTGTGTTCGTCAGTTTTACAGTATACACAGAATGTTACCGTACAGCGAGAATCCTCCGTGTGTTCCTCGGAGCATTTTTGACATCTTTCTTTAGATTTACATTGGGAGGCCGTATGCCCATACCGTAAACATCGAAAACACTGTATTACTGAATGGATGTAAGGTTCCACCCTAAATCTAACAAGGTTAATTATTACTTCCTTTGACAATTCATTTCCTAAAAATGTTACTACGACTATCTGTCTATCATTAAATTCGTACTGATTAGAATCTGGATTCAAGGCTTTTCTTTTCATTCTCTTAACTTCTAAAACTTTGCTATTTGATACAATTTCCCTTTTCAAATAATCTTCAGTAAAATATGTATCGACCATTCTGATTACACCCTTTTTGCTTGTGAAAAAATGTGGTATGTACGCAATCAAATCATTATTTACTACCAATTCATGTTGTACTAGTTTATTAGCAGTACTGTACGTCCCGAAAATAACCTTCACTCGCGTCAGACCGATAGATTGTATATCCAAGATGTCATTTTTGAACTCCATATTTCGTTGCAAAAAGTGACCCACCTTGATTGGAAAGAGTCTGCCTAAATTTTTGCTTTTGTGTTCCATATAAACAATATAAGGACCTTTATCAGATGCCAGATATCTATTATTCAAGTCATACCTGGGGCTATTATCGTGTGATTCATTGTTTGACCTTGATGAACTATTTGCAATGAAGGCGGATTGCCCTGTATGTGGGGGCGGCTCTATGCCGCCCGATTCTTCATTCATGAGGGCTATTTATAAATTATAAGATACCTTACCAGCAAATAGAAGGTGAAAAGAAAAAAAAATAGAAACAAGAGAGAAAAAACTGGTCAAGTAAAACACTCCCGTTCAGCAGTTAGGGGAATCCCGTCCCGCAACAATCTGAGCAATGGGAGCAATGTTCGTGGAGCAAAAGTGCATGCGCCAGAAAGCGATGGCTCGGATTCAATCTCGGCGAGGATGGGTGTGACGATCTGTTTTCCTGTAGTTGTGTTTCCAATCGTCTGAATGTATTTCTAGTTGATGTCGACATAGGTGTACCTTTAGGAAATGATTGATTTTGATTCGACCTAAACACATTAGGTTGCTGTGTTTGTCTAGCATTGCTCTGGCTACGATGATTTTGGTTATGAGGATAATTAGTTATAGGTAAGGGAGGTCTTAACTGTGAGTTTTGGAAATTTTGAGGATTTCGATTGATTTGCCTTCGGATGATGTTTTTGACCAAACTTCTGTTTAAATTGATTTTGTTGTACTACCTCTAACTGAAAATCATTCGTAAGCATGTGCAAAGCTTGATTGAGATCTTCTGGGTTTTTTGTACGCATTAAAGATCCAATAGGTTCCTTCAAACCTCTTAATAAAATTCTTAAAGCTAGATTTCTACAATAGTTATTAACTATTATAGCTTCATTTTCTGGTAAGTGTGATACAGAGTATGAAATTTGTAAATTTAACAGATGTTGAATCCTATTATAAAATTCAAAAGGGTTTTCATTTTGATTTTGTCTTAATTCTACCATCTCTATATTCAACGTGAAAAGATCGCGCTTATCTGCATAAGCATTGAGAAGAGTATTTTTTAAATCTTGCCAGTTTTTTATGTGAGACGAAGAAATATTAAGTGCTGCGTCACCTTTTATTTTCGCAAGCAAACTTGACATCAAATATTCGTTTTGAAAGTCCTCTGGATTTGTTGCATTATAAAATTTCGTGACTAATTTCTCTGAAATTTCAAGAAATCTGGGTAATAATTCTGGTTCACCATGAAAATCAGGAATCATGTGCAAGTATTTCGGTTTTAGGAAAGGTACATTGTTTGAACTAGTAGTCATTGTGACGTTACTTAATTGATTTTCACTGATAATAGGTAAATTCAGAATTGGTGATCTAAAAATTGGTCTTGAGAATTGAATATTCGAATTAGCTATTGGTGAGTCAGAATCCGATTCCGCGCTATCACTGCTATCAGAATTAATATTTTCGAGTCCTCTAAAAGACATTAGGTACTTGCAGCAATACCACTAGAAGTTCCATGCCCTGTATGCTGCAGAGTAGAGATTCCGCCGTGGTCCAATATTCCTTTGGTCCTCTGGTCCAATATTCCCTTGGCCCCTTGGTTGACGTCTTCTCACTTGGCTACTCGATCCACCAAGTTAGAATTCCTCTAGCTGGTTGAGTCCACGCGACCGACCGAAATTACCGATTCGCGAGACTCTTTTTCGGTTCGTATTTGGTTAATCGTTCGACGAAGGGTGGTTTATAAGCCGTAAACAACCCCCAAATATCCTACTGGCTGCGCCACTAATATTTCGGGATAACGTAAGTGCCTTTTTAAAAATATTTATTGCCGAGAATACAGTAGTGGATGGTACGAAAGTTAGATTAAGACTAAATTTTAATTATACAAGTACAATGTTTGTTAGCATGAGTAAAACAGGAAACATATCATGTTGCATTTCAACGGTTGCTAGGAGCTGCGATGATGTGCTGACTTGCATTTTCTATTTTCTAGCTTCTACAGGGTAGCCCTATAAGTTATATATATATATATAGGTGAAAAATTAAAGCTTCCGCCTTTTGTTGGGTACTTCGACAAAATTTAAGCAAAGAGGACTCTTTATACTTTTCTAATTCTCTCTAGCTTTCAATGGACTTTGCCATCATCATCAGGAGCTGCAATTACAATGATAACAGTAGCAACAATAGTGTAAAATGAATTTAAATTGACTCAACTTACAGTAGTATGTGAGGATGTTGCTAATTGTTGTTTACGTATGGGATGAGGGAAACGTCCAGTAACATGGTGAGAGCTGGATAGATGGTACAATGGTCAAAATTATATAAAATATGACAAGAACAAGTTAAAACCAGATTAAAAATTATTTAAAAAACATTAAAGCATTACATCGTGAAGCCACTTGATGATTGCACAAAATGGTGGTCATGGAATAATGAGTGACATGAACCCTTTGACAGAAGGCCGAAGGTTGTCAATGTCTGTGTAGAAGGATGGAACGAATTGTGGGCGTGTGCCAACGTTGCCAAATCACTTCAGATGATGTGATTTTCAGAATGTTATGTAAGAAATTGTTAAACCGACCAGAGGCAGTTGAATAAACACACATTTTGCTCAGGTAGAAGCAGACGTGTGTGTTGTTACTCCACAGTTATTCGTGATTTTTCACTCAGTCTCGTTAAATATAACAGTGATTTTTACAACCACGCTATTGGCTGTTTAGCCTATGTAACCAAACCATTGACGTATCACTATAGTTTCAATTAATCAAACTATTCTGCAAAATGTCTAACAAGCAGTGCAAAATCTGCGATAATATAGTAAATCGCAAAAACCCAGGTCTTCAGTGCGATGGTTTTTGCGGCCGTTTTTATCACGGATCCTGTTTAGATATTAGCAGCAAACAAATGGATAGTTTGCGAGCCGAGGGTGTCACCTGGAAATGTAGCGATTGCAGAGAAAGCAGAGGCGACTCGGCGCGCCAGTCCATGGGTACATTGGGTACGCCGATGCAACTACCTATCTCATCATTTGCTTTAAGCTCAGGCAGCACTGGTGGCATCGGAACAAGTGATACGCTTATTACGTCGATGCAGGAGATTAAAATGGAAATTAGGCAAATGCGGGAACAACAAATGGCATTAATTAATTCAGTTACGTTTTGCAGTGAAAAAGTAACCGATTTTGAACTCAAACTGTCAAAAATCGATGAATATATAAAGAAAACAGAAAAATTAATTAGTGAAAATGCTACCTTGAAAGCTGAGGTGTCAAACCTTCAAACAAAAATCAATAGTCTTGAACAGGTTTCTAGACAAAAAAACTTAGAAATTCAAGG